AACTCCTATCAGCCACATGAGGACGCCGTACATAACCTTACGAAAAGTCGCCTCTATATTCCTCGAAGTTCGAAATCTTCGAACTGTTTAAAAACTACTAAATCTATGTATATCTACAGTTCAGTGAAGGAGGGTAAATTGTTGAATGTGAAGTGGTCAAACAAGGCCCTTCTCAAAGTGTCCACTGAAGGAGTTGGAAGAGAAAAAACTCGTCAACTTTCTTGAAAGCTTGGCAAACTAGGAATTTTCACTGCATTTAAATAGTGTTACACAGTAATCTATGTTTCCACCCCCGTTTCATTCCATTTCTTGTTAAAAATTGGCTCACTGCGATGAAAGACATTGACTCCAAAAAAACCCCAGGAACTATAAATATGGATATGCCGCCTGCCAGCGAGTACTAATTTACTAATTCCACTATATCTTGTGTTGTAGTGGTTTTTGACAAAAAAGCATTCTGTAGCACCTGTAGACCCGCTAGTTATGACTTATTCCAGCACGAATCACGAGGATTCCTCAAGTCTCCTCCGCGTTACAAAAATGCTGAAAGGATTCCGTTTGCCCGAAGCTCAGAAAGCACCATACTTTCTTAGATCTTCGATTTGTACTGTGCTGAAAGCAACAGCAAGTACTTTATCGAGTTACGCCAAGGCGTAAACATATTGCGAACTGATATGGAAATATTGAACTCCTCTTCAGCCTCGATCGATACCCACGAATATCCCAAGCAGAAGGTAAATCATTAAGTAAGGTAACCTGCCATTTCTCAAAGATATGCTAACTCCCTCTTGCCATTATAGCAATAAAAAGTTATTCCCATAGGTATTTAGGAAAGTAATAGACATACCTCGACAAGAAGACAGAAAATCAGGATTAGTATGACCGCACGCACGAATTTCATCAGTTAGTAATGATTCTATAAAATTACATCACATAACTACTTGCAAAGCAGCCAAGATAGATCAATGAAACACTGAAATACCAGGAAAAACAGTTGGACTACTAGCTTAGCAAACGAAAGAGAACTTCTTTACACCAGCATGTCTGCCAGCTGTTTATCATGATCGGTCGTGAGATCTCGTCCATAACTTCGACGATTGATGTGGCATTCATGGTATTCAAACACGGAAGGTCGACATGATCAAAAATCCAGCTATAATCTGATCTCGACATGGTTTCCGGTCCAAGGTGTTGTGTAATTTATTTTTTCTTCTTGGTAAAGGCATCACATGTACTCTCCCACGTTCCTCAGCACCCACCGTGTTTCCCACGTTCCTGCTCACGCTGGTTTTTGGCTTCATATTGGAGGATGTTCGTGCCTATCACCAGGTCCAAGTGGCTATGTGTTGTTTAACAGAAAGACTGTTGACTAGTGACGAGACTTCATCTTAATTTGTGTGTAGTGTCCACACATTTTATGTTCATTGATCTAGCCAACCAGCTGACCAACGGCATTAAGAGCGCTCCTCCTCTCTTCTATATTTCGACAGCAAGACACTGCTGGCAAGTGTCTCGTTCATTATCGTTGCCGCCCGTCGATGATTATTTGACACTCGCCACATGTTCATGTATTAACTCCTCATAAAACGATTGAAAAACGCTTCTTTATGCAGATATTTCAGCTTCCAATAACATTCCTTCACAATTTATTGGATGAATGAGGAGTGTAGCGCAGTGGTTAGAGGTGCTCCACGATATACACCTCCTTGCTGGTTCGACCTCGTATCCCATGTTGATCAAGCTCTTCGCCCTCTCCAAATTTGAGAATCTTGTGGAGAAGGATGAAATGTATTGACTTAATAGATTGCTAACCCCAGCCAGAGAGTATGGGTCAAATATATGTCCACTTCCACTGCGCTACGAATCGAGTTGAATACATGACGCATCAATAAAGGGAAAAACCGTTACCGAACGCTTTATACTTTATCTCTTTGAAGTTTCATTAGTTTTTCGCTAATATTCTTCCTCCGCCTGCACGACATGCCGTCACGGTGCTCCATCATTGATACATTAGCAATGTTTCTACTAGCAACCATTGTTACATTATTGGATGATCTGAGTCACATGTGACATTTTCTGTGAAAATCGTCATATGTATGGTATAACGCCCTCTATATATAGTGCTTCCTGAAAGATAGGACCACGGGAAGTTGGCCTTACCTTTCTACTTACTCCTAGCTGGGCTTCTACATGAATATTTGGACTATATTAGCGTGGAATCCCAACTGAATGGCGCATTTCAACACCCAGCAACTCTTTCCAACTTTCCAAATGAGGCCGATAAACCATTGCCTTTAGTAACACGACCATGCAACAAAATCTCTGGTGATGGAATTTCTGTTGTGCCCACAATGATTTTTCGTTTCTCAATCACTATTACCTTCAATTTTATATCCACATATTGAAAACTGTTTTAATTTAGTGATTTTTTAAACAGGTAGTTCATTCCTGAAAGCATTTCAAGTTAATTCACTGCAGCTAACAGACAGTTAATTGTATAATTCTCTGATAGCTACGTGATCCTTGAACCCATTGATATTTAAATTTCTTATAGAAAGATGTACGGCCATAGAAGAAGAGTTAAGCGATAATCAATCCCTTCCTAATGCCCCATGCATTCGATTCCGTGTAGCGATGAATGAGCTTATGCTAGGTCTGGACTGGACGATGACTTGGCAAGGCCTACAGTTATGTTCAGCCAAGGCTTTCGTAACTTGCCAAACCAAACCTGTTCTTCCGTATGAGGGCTCTGTCTGCGAGAAGCATGGAGGAGACGAACCAAAGATTGTATGTATTACAGGGCACCGCTATGCACTACTATGAGCTTCAGTATATATATATATATATATATATATATATATATATATACTTATAGTATATATATATATATACTTATATATATATGTATATATATATACTTCAGTATATATATATATATATACTTATATATATATATATATGTATATAAGCCGATAAGGATACTACTATTATTATATTTCTTTGTTAAATATTAAAAAAGACATCATCTTTGCGGAGGAACGAAACTGCTACGTTTTCCACGATTTTAACGACTGCACTGTTTCGTTGTATGAGACAACAAAAACGAGTTTTTACTGTAACAAAGAATCTCTTCGATCGACTTCTCCTATGAAACGTTTCGGTGCATAAAGTTGTTGATTCCCAGCGATGCTATATCAATAGCTTCATTAGAGTTTTTCAACATGAATCAGGAAGAAATAAATTGTATAAAAACTATGACCGTAAGGTTTTACCATCCTTCTATTCGTTCCAGAACCAGCTAGGATTGAAAATGGAATAGTAATGCTGCCAACGTAATTGCTTCTACCGATGCCGTTGTGGTTTGCTAAATATCTTGGTTTTGCTGATAAGCGTACATTAGACTGTTACAAACCCTTCCTCTGGCTAACATTTCATTGGCACCATCTTTTTCAGAGATTGCAGTGACCGCATTGGAAAGTCAATTAATTCCAAAGCCGGAAATCGTCTTGAAGAACTGCTAGGGGTGAGGTCACATCGTTTATGGAATGTTCTATTCCACTCGGCATACTTACAAGGACCCACATCGCAAGGAGGAAAACTGCTGTGCGTATCCGACCCAAATCATCGAATGGCTTTGAAGAAGGCTATACTGCCGAAACGTCAGCCAGGTCAATAATTTAAGCGATCTCGCATAAAGTGGAATGGTGATCATCCCTACAAACATTAAGTGAAAGTCCGTTTGGAATATACTGGTGTTCCTGTTGCTGTTGCCCTTACTGATTTCGTTATTCCTATGGTTGGTGTTCATTCGTTTCTTGCAAATCATTGGAACAATATAGAAACAACTGTAATGCTGAGGTATTTGCAAAGCTTGAACCCCAGACCATATCCCAGCGTCGAAACAGTTGTATTTCGCATAATACTCTGCCGTCAAAAAAAGTAATAGGCTGTAAATGAAGAGTTATAAAAGGATAAAGGATAACGCTCTCGACGCTGGTCAATCCCTGAGGGATGCGTCACGTATTTGACTTCATTAAACATCGTTTGGAGGTGATTGAAGCATACCTGGCCTTTACAATGACTCACAGTGGCCTATGGATGCATCGAGCCAGTGCTGCTAGCCTCCCAGACAAGTCTGGCACCAATTTTCCGACCCCGGAGGGATAGAAGGCTTAGTGGGCCATGGGCGCGGGGATTGATTCCACGTGAGTGTCGCAGGCCGCCTCGAACCGCTGCGCCACATACGCCTTTAAATAAAGAGTTGTATAATATAAAAACCTTCTCATCTTTATATTTGGTATTTTTAAGCTTGCATAAAGTTGCCAAGTTCTGTCGTTTCTCTATAAAAGTTCTCCTTTTGTTTTTAAACACTCACTATTATCACTAGTATTTCCTTTTAAATTTATTTGATTCCTTTACGTTTGGTGCTGTGCACGTTTGGTGTAGAAACAATAGTTGGGCATTGAGTTCCTCCTTATTCCGTTTGGTTTTTTCTCCAACAATTTTTTTTCTTAGATGACAGAGTTGTGCCTTCTGTGACCGGCATTCCTAAAGCTGTTCCACTTCTTCATAATGTTCCTCTACTGGACAAATACAGGCATATGATAACCATTCCGTACGAAATTGCTGAACGATTGAAATTAATATCTGCTGGTTTTCTAGCGTATTCTTCTTTTCTTTCTTTCTTACATAAAATCCTCGGCTCACTCTCCTCACTGCAAAATCATGGAGAAATTACACAAGAAGCCGTTCGAAAATTTTTCTCCACCCACCCATTTACTCTTTAAATATCTCATTAGATTTCAGCGCTGGGGTGTTAGGGAAACTTCGAAAGTTCGATATCATTCGAAACGTAATCGAATAGCTCTCGAGTAATTGAACACCCGAAGTACTGGAGGCCGCTCTTCAGTTTGTTCCTCGACGAAAGAGAAGTTATTCTCAGACTTTTCCAAACTCCTTACGTTTGCCATCGCTTGAAATAGCTCCTTTCCTAGCTACGAATGTGCTTAGGCTATGGAATATTCGAAGTTCGATTTCGATTTGTTGTAATGAAAATGCCAATTTTCCTTTCAGACACAGGAATGACAAAGGAGTGGAATGTCATTGCTGTCATCTTTTGTTTACTTCATACATTGACAGCTCTTTGCTTAGATGGTATTAATAATGTCTTCACAGTTGACTCCTACGGTAGCGGTTAGTAGCATTTCTTTGCTAAGTAGTTATGTTACAATAATTTCAAACGTAGGGATATTTTTAACGTAAAATGTAGGGACCACGAAAATTTCAATCATATGCTCATCTTTGACAGATTTTCAAATATTGTAAGAGTAACTAAAATGGTTTCCGTTTCGGATTACCAATGAAAGAATCTCGGAGTGTCAGAACGAGTCTGTAAAGTTTGATTTCGAGATCAACTTGATCGCACGCGTGCGACGTTGCGTCGCTTTCGTGTAAGTCGGCACTTGACAATTTTCCCTTAGTTGAATCTAAAAATTCCTACTTCTCTCAGCGTGAAAATTGTGACTAATCTTTGATCAACTAAGTTTTCTAACTAACTGGTTAGCATGCATTTACAAAGCAGTTTTTTCTTACCTACATTCCTTCCTGATGATTTACTCCTTTATTACTGGCTAAGAAGGGGTTCACGGGTGTCGAACCGCTCCTCACAACAGCCAGTACATCCTTTCAGCACTTGAGCTCCAAAACAGCCTAGCATGTTTACTTTGAAATCAGGTACGCGTAAGCCTATTTCACCGATTGCTGTGGTCCTAAGATGAAACGCACTGCCGTCGTATTGGATACATGGACGATTCATCAAGAGAGGTCATCCAAATGCCCAAGCATGTTTTGTATGCATGGATGTCATACAGAAATGAAAGAAGAGTAAAAGTGGTCTTTGGTCAACTTCTTGGTGAAGATCACTTTTTAGTGACTAGCTGTTTTTGTTTCATATTACAGAACAATTTCCTGTACGAGTAAGGAACGTCACTATTCTTGTATACGATATTCACAATAGACCATCATGCCATCATGGGAAGGTGAATGTAGTGATGCCAGGGTACTTTCACATCATATCAGGTGAGTATTTTTATCCCCATAAATGAATAATGGGAGTGCAAGATAAGAATTGCTTTATAACATAATCGGTCTCGCTGCTTCGATCCAGCCACATGGCTTGCCAAGGCTATCATTTCTCAGGGGTTGAGAACTTGTTGCCAGATTTATCTAGGAGAACAAAAGCACTGGTTTGATACACAGGTATGCTCCTGCATTTCACTGTATTGGCCAGGTATCAGTGCGTTTAGTCACTTCTACGGTGATGAGAATGGATTCTGATGCACGGCATATCTCTAAAGGATAGAACAACGTATGAACAGTCCAAAATAATAGAAACAAAATATAAATAGAAAGCTGGAAGTAGTGAAATATGACTTGAATAGTTAATAAGCAGATTTTAATTCGAACACCTTTCAATCGTTACCACGAGCTAATTTGTTTCAAGACTGATGGTTTGATCTCAAATTGTTTTTGTGGACAACAGTGTTAAAAACGACATTGTGGATGGGAACATAGTGGGAGGATATATAATAGTAACCTATAGAGTTAATAGAAAAGATGCAAAGGAGAGGCAGAAAAGAAACGAAAGGAGGATGAAGGATAGGGATGCAACTAATTAACATGTTGGGTAAAGAACAAGAGAACATAATTGGCGATTCACTGAAAAAAGAAAAATATGGTGGACGTTTATAATTTTGTTAACGTATACCATCACAATGCGGTTCTGGTTCAAACCCCCTCTGGGCTCACCAAGCCTCTCATCTATCCTGGGCAAGGGAAATTCGTACCAGACTCGTCTGAGATCAGTTCGCTCCCTGCAAGCCACTTGAGAGCGCTCCGATATGACAACGCTAAGGGTCCGGGAGGTTCAGTTTTAGCGGCATTCAACAACAGTCATAAGGAAGACGAAGGTCTTCAAGCAGTGTTTAACCTACATGCAAGAAAGTTCGAAGACTTCGTGGATGACGGATGCGAGCGATTGAATCGAATGCAAGAAGTGTTCTAATCCGCACCGTAAATTTGAATAGGGATAAAACAAACAAATAATATAGATCTTTACTTTACTAAAATCCATATTTACATTACCTTCGATTTGGTTTAAGGTATCAATTAAACGTGGTCTTTGATTGTATCCTGTGCCCTGCTGGTCTTACCGAGCACCTTCAGCCATCAAACTTGTCTGGGAGGATAAAAACGATGGGTTAACATAATAGAAAGCTCTGAAAATCACTGTATAGGAAAAATATGCATTCATACATCACTGTGATACATTCCTACAGAGGTTTATTGTTTAAGCTAAGTTCATACGTGTATTGATAAAACAAAGTCCAACTACGGTTTTAAAAGGTAATAAAACGAAGATTGTATCGCAAGTGAGTGTTCAGGAGAAGTCGTTACTCCGAAGGATTTTGATTTGTTCTCGTCGAATCTCGTCCGCGCCACGGTTCGATATGGCAACATGAAAATTTGTGACAACGGCGAAAGTCACATGATAATCGTGCCAACTAGACTATGGCGGGTTCATGGTTTTTTTTAAAGAGCAGATCTGAAAAATATGAAGTCCTAAGTAAACAAGTTGTAATTGAACGAATGCTTCGCAAAACAAATCCAACTGAGGGCTTTGTTGTCTGTCTTGGGTTAACTATTTTTATTTTTGTGGGAAAACTTTCGATATAACGGTAACAAAAACTAATTCGATAAAACCCACGGATATAAGGTTGTTACTCGAACAAGTTACAGTTCTTAATGGTGTATTTGTAGTTTTCAATGCGTTGAAATACAGTAGATAGAAAGTATATAGAAACTATTCTGAAGAATAATCCGAAGTAATCCAATCTGTTTCAGCCGTTTTAACATCAGAACGGTAATTCCGGATGATATCCTCCATCTTCTACAAAAAGCGGGAATTCATACACTAGCCGGTCAGTTCCTTTACCTTTACTGCGCATGATTCATTTAGAAAGAGTAAGGTTAACAGATGAAACATAAAACGAAAGAATGATAAGCAAATACTTGCATGAGCTGCATGAGCAAATAACAGATAAAACCAACAGAGAATTTCATCTATTAAATGTACTGACGAACCATCCCGTTCGTACTCCCTTATGCGACGTCTTATGCGACGTGTGCAGTTACGGTGATGTAAAATTTAACGCGATCAAATCCATAGCTTAGTCATATTTTCGTTAGATGTTTTGGTCTTTTGCACTTCTTCCATAAGATTTTTTCAGAACTTCAGAAAAAAGTCAACTTTAACCCAAAATTAGAACTGCCGCCATCGCCTTCGTTTCTTGGTGTAACGTTGCTGGATATTCTTAAGGTGAAGATTCGTTTGTCTACATAAAATTTCACAGATATCATGACCCTCATTACGATTTTTTTTGCCTGGTAATTCGCTGACTGAGCAAATCTCTTATGGTACTGAAGTAATCGTACAAAGGCGTTCAAAAGTTGTTCCCACAAAACGAACTTTTGCTGTACGAATTGTTCAAATGAGAATTAAGGTGGAATGGCAACATAGAAAGATTTTGTTCAAGTTACGTGGTTGCAGCACCTCATTTCGGTGTCAACACCACGCCGTACTTCAAACTTGGGGAACTAAACTGTTTCCGAGCGCAATATTGGCACAAAAATTACTCACTGAAGTTTAGGAATGAAATTAAATAGTGATGTGGTTTGGCAAACAGAAGAAGCATTTATAAGAATTTCACTAACAATGAGTTACTGGCTTGTGCGTATGGTCTTTGAGGTGCAAAAACAAATACAAATAAGGCTAGTATTAATACACACCTAAGAAATTAAAGTCTATTTCATGCGATTAGGAAAGAAAGAGATGCGCGGTGCATAGAATATCTAGGCGATTGACATGACGCTTGAAATTATCGGAGAAGGTCACTAAGTCCAGCCATCAGGCAATAATCCACGCATTTCCCGGATTATCGATAGGTGTGGATCTAGGAAACCGTTCTAGCCTTGTTCGAATTTGAAGTAGATTGCATTACAGAAACAAATACGTCTGCAAGAAATTCATGCTCAATATAAGAGATCTGAAGTAAGATGAGAGACAAAGAACATTCACGGAGAATGTTCTCTAAAGGCAAAATGTATTGCGCTCTCATACTACATATTTAGGGTGATTACTACATAAAGATTGCTGTGGATTCCAATCACGAAAGGATTGTCCAATTTGCGATTCCATCCGGATTTAGCGCGTTGATGATGGGACTAACGCCCGACTAATAACTATGGTGTCTGGTGTCTGACTGTCTGACTGGTGTCATTGCTTTAATTCGATGATACGATTATTTTATTTCTAATCGCTCTCGATGATCCATTGAATTAACGGTGCAAAATAAATAATTCATGGCTCTGCAACGACCTTCAGGTCATAAACGATCCTTGAGAATGAATAAAACTCGATTATCCGTTACCGAGTGGTCTGCTACAAGCTGGCTTACCACATTCGCTTGAATTAGCATCAAACGCAGATTATTCATTATAATCTTTATTTAGAGTAGGCCAAGCAGCGCAAGAATAGGAAGATGTCATCGTCATGTCTACTATCACATTAGTAGACCGCTTTAGCTATGTGTTTTTTATAATAGAAAAACGTACGGTCAACACATAAGAACTTGTTCAGTTACCTATTAAGGTCGGCCGATCAATAACTTTTAGCTATGGAAATCATCAAGCCTTCCATCCCTGCGTGTCGGCTAATTTGCATCGGACCTCTGCGAGCATTCCAGGAGTGACCTTATATATCGGCAAACTACAGCAACTCGCTGGATAGAACGAATTTGCGTTCACTAGACTCTAACAACGCTTGATGAAGACGCATGTAAGGCCCATCTTTAGGTCAGCAATTGATCAACTTCAGGAGGTTTATCCTTTCACTTCTACTGATATAGTGCAGTTTTAATTTGACAAGTGATGCGAGTTGGGCAGGAGCCAAGCGTTTTACAATGACGCTTACCTGAGTTAAGAGGCATTTTCTGTTTAACACACAACCTACTGTGCTGGTTGATGTGAAAAAACCAATAGTTTCCTGATAAACAAGGCAGTTAAACAGTTCAGAAATTAATGAACCCGTAGGAGAAGACTTCATTTTTCTTATTAAAAGCATAAATAGTAAATTATTTTTTGGCACTTTTAAAATCATATGAGACTAAAACTTACGAAAAGGTTATGAACAAAACCCGAATTTTTAATATTTTCAAGGCAAACATTGCGGCTTCAAATATTAAATACACAGCATCGAACACTATCATCTCCTTTTCTATGAAACCTGACTGTCCTTTCAACTCGGCCCACAAAATCATGAAACTCGTGTCTGTCCTAGGTCTTCACCACCACAGGCAGCCCTTGTAGATCAAAAGGAGATTTTCCACTATGTGACTTCGATACCAGGACGGTAGTTGGTCCTGGCATTGATTTACTCTTAGCCAGGCTTTCTAATAGAAACTCCGGACTCGTTCTCAGTTTGGGAGACCGTGTCAGGAGATGAATCCTTCGCTGTGCATCCCAGTTCGCTACCCAAGAACATCTCCCAGCCACGGTGAGGCGGTAACGGTTGGGAGGAACGGCATCACTATGACTGTGCAACCCACTCCTTAGAATTCACTATAGGATTACGAAAGTAAAAAAAAACAAAACAATCAACAAACTATGTTGGCATTTTTTTCTCTAGGTCTCTTGTAGTAAAGCCATTTTGAATTTGATACTTCTTTTTTAAAAATTGATGTGCTTCTTGAAGAACACGTTACTCAAGGTCGGCGTTCGAATAGTCCGTTCTGTTGCGGGACACGAAACAATCTCCGTAATCACAATGTTTACTCTCCTATTTACTGCCTACTAAAGTTTTCACGGCGGGGTACTATTGGAAATCAACCATAACTATGCTGAGATATTCGCTAAACTTGGATTCTGGACCAGATCGAGCCACTTTCTGAGAAAAACTAGCTGACAGAAACTCAGAGCAAAGGTCTGCGCTGCGCAATGTGGAATGCGCGAGCCCCCTGAGAAGGAAATCGTGGTTCGGTCTGGCCCGGGGTCCAAGTTTTGCGAATATCTCAGCATCGTTGTGGTTAATCTTCTTAATGTTTCAAGGAAACGTCGTTTTGATTTCCTCTCTGCAACGAATCAAGTAGACAAGGCTCTAATCGTCCGATATCACAGATGTCAGCAAAAGTCAGGCGAGTTGAAGTGCTGATGGTTTTTCTTCATTAGAGGCATTAAGTAGAGCGCTTATAGGTCGTCATAAAACGATGTTATCGCTAACCTGTGTTGGTAGAAAGGAGTAAGGTTAACTGCTTGGCAACTAATTTGCTTTTTCTCCATCTCTCCGACCGCAACTACTTTCCACGTGACTCTCCGTCATCTAAGGAAAACAATGAACCTATACGAGTATAATGATACTCAGCCCCAATCGAGCAGCAAGTGAAACCTTGAGTCTCGCGCCTTAGACCACTCGGCCAGCTACTTACTATGGGCTGATATAGAAGCGTTCAGATTACGATGTATGACGTTCACACTATGATATGTATGAATCTGCGATGCAATGCACTATCGCAACCGCGTTGTATGAATCTTCTGCTACACTTCTTTGCCTTATATCCGAAGATTTCACCTGATATATTCCAGGAATTATATGAAGCAAAGAGCTACCTTCATTTCCCAATTTAAAATTTATGGAGCTAAAATAAATTGCGCCCAGAATCTACGTGCATAACCTGGAAAACCGTAAGTAATTGCACCAATAGCGAAAGAGTAAAGCATTTTAACAGAAACGTGGTGAGAAGCAGCGTTTTCAAAAGACAAAATGTCTCATTCCACAAAGCAAACGAAACGCATCAACCAATACTGCAGCTTAATCTACTGCTGCAATGGTCTCTCCCCTTATGAAGCAGCATGTCAGGTACTAACTGTTCTAATCTGAAAGTAGAGCAAACTGATAAAGGGTTTAACCACAGTTCACCAGTGATCACCTTGAAGGAAAATCACACCAGCTCTTTCTCTGTCTGAGGACGACTCTGAGGAAGAAGACGGCTCTGAGGAAGACGAAGACGTCGAAACGTTAGCCGAAAATAAATATATTTATCAACCTCGTGCAAGCTTATCAAGAAAGAATACATATCTCAGTATCATAGAAGTTACAACCACATATTTTTTCCGATGTAAAAACAACGAACACTGGAAACAACGTGGATCACCAAACGCAAAAAAAGGATAAAGCTTTCGGCGTTGATCAACCTTGAGGTATGCGTCATGCATTCGATTTCATTAAGTATCGTTGGAGGTGAATAGAATGCATATCTACCCTTTACAATAACCCGCGGTGGCCTACCGATGTATCGAGCCAGTGCTGCTAACCTCCCAGTCAAGTCTAGTATCAATTGGCCAATCCCGGTCGATTAGAAGGCTTAGTGGACCATGGGCGCTGGGATCGATTCCACGTGTGTGCTGCAGGGCGCCTCCAACCATTGCGCCACACGCGTCCCACCAAACGATTTTCACTGTTGTACTTATATAAACTGACATCCATCTAGTACGGTATGAAAATCAAACATATTTTTATTGATAAACTAACACTAGGTTGTTATGAAGGCTTTATTTGGCTAACGTTGCAGCACCTTCGCTTTCTTCAGAGTCGCAACGACATGGCTCCATCGTACAAAGGCGTTTACTCTCGCGGCATGAGTCTTCTAGGGCACATCAAGTGAACTTAATAGATCGCCCGGGTCCCTATATGCTAACAAATCTACTTTCAGCTGAGAAATAATGGACTGCTCTCATAAAAAAATTGTGAGGGTATTATCAAGTAGGAACCGTGCTGTACAAAGGAGAAGAGCAGAATGAGGTTACTTCAATGGATGCTCCTCTCCACTGGACCCGGCTGTGGGCATCCGACTCAAATAACAGCGAAAGAAAGAGATAGCTCCAAAATTCCAACCGAATAAAGTTAAAACATCAGCGCGAAAAACTCTTGAAGCGTTTTGGATCAATGCCAAAAATTCAAAAATGAACCGCAAGGAGGAGTGTCTTGTCATCACGCGTGACCTAGCGCCATACCTCAGGCTGATCCAATGATCTGACATGGACCCAGTTATCGACCATGTATTACTCTGTGCGGCGGCTATCCACCAACTAACTTAAATACTTACGACAAATAAACGGTGGGTGTTTGAATGAAGCTATTTCTTATGCGAACACAAATCGATTTATCAAGTTTTATCTGCTAGGGTTATGAAAGTG